ACCTAACCTAACATTCCTAGACCTAACATATGCTATCAGTGACCTAATACAGTGCATATATGTGCTATACTAGGCCTAGCAATATGAGTTTTGTTTTTAACTTATTTTTCTGGATTCCATAAAGTGAATAGTACCAAATTCCACTATCTAATTGTTTATTACGTCAATATATGTATGATGGTCCAGTTACAAAAAGTACTATCCAAACAGGAGCATGGGTTGCAATATTCACTTGAAGAGACCCTCTTGTCCAATTTTCAAAATTATCACTACCTGCACATTATCTACATCTGCCTAAAGTTTCTTTCACATGTGTTGTTGTTTCAGAGAAAAATACAGCTTTGTTGAGAAGTATTAGACTCTCTTGACATTTGTATTAACACTCTTTGTTCGTTAACAAATTTAATAGTACAGTAATTATAATTAAATAAGAGGTGACAGACCAGAGAAACCTTTGGCCCAGTTTGACCTTTGACATCTCCCTTGGTGAAGAAGTTGGAGCTTTAACATTTCTATATGATGAATATGATGGCCATCAAGTTTCACCAGTAAGAACAATGCACCGACAATTTTAGATTCATGCTTATACATCGAGTGTGACAAGCAGTCTTCATTCACACATGTCTCCCCAGCACTTAAAGTGTGCTGGGGAGACGGGACACCACGAGCGTGGCTCTCGTCCTGTAACTACACTTGGGTAATTACATACCATTTGCAAGACCTCCGCTCAATAAATTACAAGCCACCAACACTTGCCAAAAAGTGATCAAGAGTTAAAATCATAATAATAATAAATTACCAACCTGCTTTGCTATTGCTTTGTTGTCAACTTTAGAATACATTTTTCTGATTTTGTTCAATGTGAGATGAGATATTGCTGTAGCATTCAAGCCAAATATAACTTTTTCTTCTGGAACAACGGCAACAGACTGTACACTCTGACTATCAACGCCTGTAAGAGAAGGACATGAATGTTGCAATATGAAACTATTTATACAGTGATACCTCGACAGAAAAGATCCTAATGAAATAGAACCCTTGGAGGATGGAAAAAAATACAATCATTACCAGAGCAAACCTAGGTTATACAGAATAAGGAGTCTATATGACCAGTGTTCTATTAAATCACTGGAGCAACTCAGTGTAGGTATACTGACATCTTGTCCCAAGCCTTTATATGGCCGATTACTAGTATTTTGCTTTAGTGATAAATCTTATCCATAAAAATTTAGATTTTTAACTGCTTGCTTTTAGTTTAAAAATGATGAGTTCTGCTCAGTAGAGATGATGTAAGAAATATAAAGGTGGTTATGAGGCCATATCTTCTTAGGCCTTATACTGTCCTGTGGCTAATGGACATAATGATCAAATTGCCTAAACTTGATTCTGTACAGCCCAGGTTGTTTACAAGTCACAGCAAGATTTTGGCTGCACATCCCAATCCTAGATGGCTCTGGCAATCATCCAGTTAGTCTGAGTGAGGAGCCAAGGTATTGTATTGTTTGTGAATATGAACATGCATAGTACCACCTAGTTGTTGACCAAGGAAGATGACACGACTCAGAATACAGTACATGTAATCTGACATCAGATTATATTGTTAATCACTGATTCCCAAACTTTTTTTATTTCCACTTCCTCAGTTCTATAAACCCACCTCCAGTGCCTGCTACTCTATTCTGTACATTAAATGGCATTACTATGATTTATTCTTAAACAGATGGAAGAGTGATAAATTCTGAACTCTGAATTGAAAACTTGTACACATCGCCCCCAGGGGACGATTCCCGAAGTCAGAATCATCTTCAATAATTCGCACTTCGGGAAACATTGAAGGTAATTACAGTATTACAAGAGGGTTAACAATAGATTACTAAATTCCCATTGACACTGAAGATCATCCTGCGTGTTATAAACACACTATGAATGTTCATACTGGCGAATCTCCTTTGCAGATGGGTAATATATATAAATTTAGCCTCATATTATCACCTGGGTGGACAGATACTTGGCACATACCATAATTCAGGTTGCCCCTATATTTTGTTTAACATTTCAGTAGGTGCTGAATTGTATGTCACTGATTTCATTATATATATCAATGCCTCACCTTCAAACTCAAGCACAAGTTTTTCCAATAATGTAAGTTATATTTTCACTTCTATCTGGAATGGAAAAAAAATGTATGGCTGGATATAGACAATATTACCACACAAAACATCAATTCTCCCGGCTATTCAAGAAAAAACTATCACATCAGTAAACTTCTACTACTATTGCAAATATTCCAATAATATACTTCACTACAGTTAAAAAGACTACCTACAATTTTGTTATGCTTATGAAAGTCAATTATAGCAAGATCATACTCGCAGAGTGGACAGTCATGTTAGATACTTTAACACTTGCCAACCTACCAGGAATCTGTGCTGCTTGAAGGCAACCCGTGTAGTGTGGTCCAAGTTGGTGAAGCTGATTCACCATCTGTGGCTGCAGGACATCCTCTACCAAGTGGCAACAGCCTTGCTTCCACACAAGTTTGGAGTGTCTTCTGTATGCTGGAGGCGTTCCAATGTAAGCATAGACAGATGAAGCAATAGTAAGGTTTGCAGCTCCTCCGCCAGGATTTTGCAAGATATAGTGAAGTTTCTTTTGAGTAACGAGCTGACCATCAATGTAGATTGAGAGGGATGAATTTTTGAGCACAGAACGGCTCAGTGAGACAGTCAGGTGGTGCCACTGACCCTCGGTTAATAAATCGGGACACCAAACACGACACCCAAAGTCTCCTACAACTTCAGGCTCCCATTCTGTTACACCTAGAACACAATAGAATAGAATTTAACATATTAAAATATACAAATCTGACAACATAGTTATTGTAAAATAAAATATTTGATACTACTGTTATGTAACTTACCTTGCCCAGGTTGTGGAAAATTTGTTTCATGCGTAGAGACAATTAGTGCTTTATCTCTAGCAGAAATGACAATAGAGAGACAGACAAGGTGATGATCACGGCCAGGAACATGACGAACAAGAGTTAGCACACGTACACAGTGGGGATCTGTTCTGGGATCACTGTACTTTTCAACACACACCCAGGTACTATATGTTAAACCAGTCTGAGGTGGGAAGATTCTGTCACCTGAAAAAATGTATTTGTGAAAATAAATGGATGCAGCTGCTATATACTTTATTTAAAAACTAATTATTTACAAGAGAAAAGTCCTTTTATCATAACTACAAATTTGTGCAAGGTGTTAAGCCTTTTTGGAGCTAGAAGTGTGCGTTACTGAATACTGTGACGACAAGATTTTGTTATGAAAAAAGGCAAGGACTGTATAAATTGATTTAATAGAAATATAGGAATTTGTTATGTTCTAGAGGAAGATAGGAAGAGATAGAAAGAAAGAAATGAAGTATATTCAACATTATTCCAGAAACATTTGGCCAAAACACTATGTACTACCAGCTTTGCTAGCATGTACTTTATCCATATTAATTAATTTGTAGCTATCCACTATAAGAATCAACTGTATTATATGCACTTACACTAAAACATACAAAACACTAGATATCTCCTTCGTAAATACAAAATTATCATCATCCATATCAGATATGTTCAAAGCTTTATTGATGCAGATTATTTACCTGAATTTACCTTCATGAAGACCACCATCTCTCTAGTGTTCTCTAAGCCATCTCTTAAAGTTCTCTAAATGTTTTTTAAGCATTTGAACTAATGTAGCCTATTACATTTTCAGACTAACTTTCATGGGGAAACTACTATTTTTATTTAGCAATATAAATTGACTTGTATGGTGAACAATAACAATAATACAGTACACTGTATATGTATTTTACTGCAGGAGTTATGCAAGGTTGGAAAACGCTCAACAAACCTGTTCCAATGCCACCAATAACATTTGGTTCAGTTGAGGAGAGTGCTGCTCCCACCACCGAGCCTCCACCAGCACTCTGCGGTGCCATTGATGGCAAAAATAGGCATCCAAAACCCTCGGCACTCATATCAAACTCAACAAAAGAGGGATATACAAGGGTACCAACTCTGTAAAGAAAAGTTTTCATAAGTTAATGCACTTCTGTTGGACTGAATTCCTGCTCGAATGTATTCCAGTCCAGGTTCAAATCAAGAGCTTCTATAAACTAGCAAACTACACGCTGCCCCAAATGTACTTAAATTATTAATTAAGTATAGGAAGGTATCACCAGTCCCTTATGTCAGACACATCTTCCAATACAAACATCATCATCCCACTTAAATGTGAAGGAATTAACCTGGAGGAAAAATTAAGATTTAAGTCAATAAGAAATGCACCCTCCTAAGCCATCACACATTCAATTCCTCCCTAAGGTACGATTTATCTACAAAGTTTTGAGTTTTAATGGCCATCTTTAGGCCTTTTTTTTTTAGCAAGGTTTCCCTCAGCTGAGGACATTTTATGACAGCCCATGTGAAGTGGATTCTGGCTCCCAATGGGCCATAGGAAAGCCTAAAACACCCGGCAAGATGGTCTTCGCCCTTGGGTACCAGTATATAAGCCTTTTTCACCTTCAAATCCCTGTACAATGTGCTATTACCCCTTCAAAAGCCTGTATAATGTATTACTATGTCAAACAAGGTAAGGTAAAGTAATTCTATGATAATACAAAATAATACTCACCTGAAATCTCGAGGTGTTGTCATTGAAACGAGTGTTTTGATGCGCGTGAGAGGAACGGGACCATTGTAGGTAGACTGGCCAGAAGATATATCGACGTCGTCCAAATTTAAGCAATTTAGAGGGTTGCCCAATCTCAAGAAGATTCTGGTCATATGTGGTGGAAAAAGATTATTAACAAATTATTAACAAACAAACCTGATAAGAAAATTAAATATTTGTATGTTTGAGGCCATAATCCCACTATTGGAATGAAATCCCATAGAATGGAAACTGCTGTCATAACAGCAAACAAGGCATAAACACTGAGAAGCC